TAATTTGCATGAACATTTTGCTAATGAGCAGGATGTAAATGTAGGCCAGTTACAGGTGGTCATCACCATGCATAAGATTTATAAAGCACTAAATATGTCATGGAGGTACAATGTATGAGATAGCCGAACTCTAGTTTTAAAATCATTTAAAATCATTTTAAAATTTAACAGCTGGCATATTCACGGTTACATAATGTCCGCCTAAGCTTTTTTAGCACGCTACTCTTTAAATGTAGGCCCCTGCACCCCCTCTCCATAAAGTAGTACAATCTGAAGTTCAACAGTGTGCATGTCCCATGACCGTGGTGCAGTCCAAAGTCCAGCGCACTTGCTAGCGATACGCTGTAAGAAATGGAGTCGGTTGTGGCTTTTGTTAGCGGTTTCCCGGCTAACCTGACCCTCCAGTCCGCCCTGGTACTGGTCCTGGTCTTCCTGACGGCCTCCTGGGTCCTGGGCGCCGGTAGTCGGCAGAAGAACCTCCCGCCAGGGCCGAGAGGACTGCCCCTGCTCGGTAACCTGCTCAGCGTTCGCCCGAGCCACTTGTTATCCAACCTGGCGGCATGGAGGCAGCAGTACGGGGACGTTTTCTGTGTGAGGATCGCCACCAAACTGGCTGTCGTGCTCAATGGGTAGGTTTTACTTGTGTATACAACTGTAAATAATAATGTTGAATGGGAGCCGCGGGCTGGCAACGGCAAGACTAGACCCATTCATTACACAATGGCACGCAATACTAAAACATTTGTGTATATATGTAGACATCACTAACACACTAAATTCACTTGTCTTTTGCGCACACAGAATCGGTTACCTTAGAAAGATGTTCCTAAGTGCCTTTACTTTTATTTCCCCTTGTATATTTGTACTGGTCACTTGTTTTGTAACTAACACATGAATGTGCTTCTGCTAATAACTCGATCATTATTGGTCTCAGCAGTACAAAAGAAGAAGAATCGCAAAGCTCTTTGTATAATTGTACATCGTGCATTCATTCTTCCAACCCCCAGAACAGGTTGAAGATTTGAATAATGTGGCTATACTATCATGGAAGTTCATCTGTGTTCAACTTGGTAGTTACATGTTTAAAGGTAAAACTTGGTAATAAAAAAGCTGTAGGTTTTCTCTGAACAAAAGTTTTAAAGTTAGAAATACGGCTACACTGTTGCATGCCCTTTCAACCGTCATGTATTATTGTTAATGTCAAAACGGAATTGACATTAACAATAATACACGACGGTTATTTGAAATCACTTTGGAGCTGTGAGATGAGCAAGGTTTGTAAGTAACTCTTACTGTCAATGTATCAGAACAGTCATGACGTACTACTGTATCTACCTTTATATCTACAGACACAAGGCTGTCCAGGACGCGCTCGTCAAGCAGCCTGAAGTATTTTCTGACCGCCCTCCCGGAACCATGGGCTCGGACAAGGACCAAGGTATATGTAGGGAATGAGAAGGCAAGAAAAGGAAACAGATATCTTAACTAGGAAGGTTAACATTTGCTAGGGAGCAATTGCAGCAAAATATTTCACCACATTCCCCGTACCAAAATGGACCTATCCCCTCCCGAAATGGATTATTCCTCTGTCCAAAATGTAAAGTGTTCCAATAGTCTATACCCACACGCATCAATGGAATCTTCCAACGCCTTCTGTGTTGGACCATGTAGAACCTGTGTTCTATTTAGAACTGTCAGTTGGCGATTTGGGTCAATGGGTTTTCGTATTAGCGCACAGGAGCCAAAAATGTCAAAAATAGCAAAAAAGCCCCATTTTCACATAACTTTAAAGTAGCACACGCCAAAAACGTAAATACCAAATTTCAGGTCATTTGGTTTCGATATTAGGGCACCGGGGCCAAAAAGAAATAGCCAAAAAGCCCTATTTTACACAATTTCGAAGTGGCGTATGTCAAAAGCGTGAAAGACATTCTTTGTTCCTGTGCCCAAGGTATCCCCATACCGAATACAAGTCATTCGGATTTAAGATCAGGGCTACAGATCCCAAAATGTACATTTTTTTGCATGAAAATGGCCAAAAAACTCAAATAAAACAATTCTAAAGCCTGTATCCATAAAATGAAAAAAAAATGTCTGGGGGATATTTTGTTACTCTACTTTCATGCCAAATTTCATGTCATTTGGCCAAAAAAAATGAATACAATTAACGAAATTACTCAATCAAGAATAGATACGCAAAAGATTACAGATATTTGAGGATATTTTCTTCATTCTGCAGGTATTGGCATGTCCCGGTACGGGGAAGATTGGAAGGTGAAACGTAAAGTCGGCCTGACCGCTCTCCGTCAGTTGGGCATGGGCAAACGTAGTCTGGAGGGCAGAATCATGGAGGAGGCTTGCACCTTGTCTGACATCCTTGCGGAAAAGGGCGGCACTGCAACGGACATGTCACTTCTTCTGTCAAATGCCGTTTCTAACATCATCTGTTTCATGGCGTTCGGTCAGAGATTCGAGTGCAACGACACGGAGTTTCAGAGGCTCATGCGATTGAGTTCGGGGATTTTAGGTGGGTCTGGGACCTCCGGATCTCCTATCCCTCGGTTTATCCCCTTGGTAGGCAAATTGCCCTTCTTCAAAAAGGAGCATGAAAGGCGAATGAAAATGCTCAACGAGGTCGACGATTTTATCAAAGCCAAGATCAAAGAACACCAAGAGACTTTCGACCCCTCCGACATCCGGGACATTATTGACGTGTACTTGATGGAGACCCAGCAGCAGGCCCCGGATGGAGAGGACGGTACCATTACAGAACAAGGGATGATCGGCACGGTGAGAAGCCTGTTCATCGCAGGAGCAGAAACAACAGCTACGACCCTAAAGTGGGGGCTGCTGTACCTGGCGCGCCACCGTGAAGTGCAACGAAAAGTGCAGGACGAGATCGACAAAGAGTTTGGCGCCAGTCCTCCAAGCCTGTTCCAGCGACGAAAGCTGCCCTACACCGAGACCACGATCCTGGAAATCCAGCGGATCCGACCCGCAGTACCGCTCAGCGTTGCTCACAGCACCTCCGCCGCGACCGTTCTGCACGGCTTTGACATCCCGGCGAACACTCTCGTCATCCCCAACCTGTGGTCCGCCATGATGGATCCGGCACTGGCGCCGGACCCCGAAACCTTCAACCCGGACAGGTTTCTGGACGAAGAAGGATCTCTCGTCCGTCCCGAGTGGTTCATTCCTTTCTCACTGGGTGAGTTTAGGTTGTTTACATTTAAGTTTACCGAAGGAAAAGATATTGTTTTTGCTCTGTTTCTTCTTCTCCAAACAAATAAATAAGGTCAATGACCTGAACCAGACGTCTGTTACCATGGTAACTACTGTTGGATTACATCATGTTGCAATTTTATAGCAGGAGGGACCATATGCGAAGGTAAACATTTGCATTTGTTTTGCAAATGTTACCTTTCTAGTTTTAATCATTTCCTTGGAACCTGGCTATTTAGATCTAATCATAGAATCTGGTTATGATCATGAAGACAAAAACATGTAAAAAGCGTTTGAACATATGTCACTACCGGCACTAACAACATGTATCACTTCAATTTTTTGTCCCTCTTATCCCTTGCCTAGGACGGCGTCAGTGCCTTGGTGAACAACTGGCCAAGATGGAACTGTTCATCTTCCTGACAACCTTGCTGCAGCACTTCACATTCAAGCTGCCAGACGGCGCCCCTGCTCCGTCAATGGAAGGCACCTTGGGTCTTGTTCTCGCACCCAAAGCATACCAGATTTGCGCCATTCCAAGAGATAGCTAGACCGTTTGATACTTTTCAACTTATCATTAGATTATATACAAGCCTTTATTACCTTCGCCTAGAAGGTTATGTTTTTATGGGTGTTTGTCTGTGTGTGTGTATGTGTGTGTGTCTGTCTGTCTGTCTGTTTGTCTGTCTGTCTGCAAAAAAGATAACTCAAGAAGGCTTTGGTGGATTGTCTTAATATTTGGAGGGTGAGTGCTACAAGTTGGTGATTACAGAAAAGCCGCCTCGAGCTCCTACTCTGGTCATGCGGCGCAGATGAAGCAGATGATCAAAGAGACTTAACGTTATATACTAGTATCCTGACATTGATCATCCCTGAATAACTTCATGTGTCCTTTTATTTTAAAAAATGGAGATGAAGATATTGTTTTTTTAAAACTAAAACAAACGGTGTGTTGTTTGGTATAACTTTGCCGTCACTTTTTTCCTTTATTTCAAGTACTGTAAGACCTAGGATTGCCGTATATTTGAATACTTATACTTACTTGATACATTGAAAAGCACAATCTACTGTGTTGTTTAACAATCCTGTTTCTATATGCATATATTTCTTTTGATGTGTCAATAAAGAATCTCTATAAAATATCCTCTATAGCTACGTAAACGTAATAATACTTCAGGACCGAATGAAGTAAAATAATATACAGAAATACTGTTGTTTAAACCTGTAGAAAATTTTCTGAAGCAGAATACAACAAACAAACAAACAAACCTACAACATTGGCAAAGAAATGCTGAATCTTTTATTTGTCAAAAAAGTTCTAGAGATTTCTGTACAAGGAAAAAAGTAACTTTGTTTTCAAGAAAACATTATGTCATCCCACCTCAGAAGGGGGGGGGGGTACTGCTCATTTCCTTCAAAATACCCCAACCTTAAAACAATACACAAAAACGTGCCTTATGTTTCATATCTTGAAATAAAGGTAGTTCATTCTTTCTTTTAATTTTACCAATCAATGTCTATTTGAATAATTGCCTTCGAACTATACGTAATGTGTTTACAACATTTTTATACTAAAGGTGATGAATCAACTTTTTGTGACTACCTCATGTTTTAAACAAGACGTCATCATAATATAATTGAAACTTTATTTGCAAAATCATGCCCGAAGGCTAATTGCTTTTACAATCAAGTATACTACTCATTGCAATACAGTAATAGAAGACAGGCAACAACTGTCTGGAAAAACTTCTACTTCTACTACTACACTAGCTATTATAGGGTTCGACTTCTTCTTCTTTGAAGGCAGTGGATAATGTCAATATAAATCCCGCAGTCTACCTATTGAAAGAAATACCCAGCTGCATACCCATTGTTAAAAAAAGCTACTTGTGTATTTGAACAGAAAATATGCGGAAATGATAGAAAGAAAAGCCATGCATCTCTTGAACCAGTTTAAGGTACGCTGGCGGCAGGCTCGGCCGGCTTGTGGCGGATCTTCATCTCCACATACGGGATGGCTCTGTAGCCCTGCCACGGTACCCAGCTCACTGACGACAAGGTAGCTTCAGAATCTAGGGAAGACAAAACAGAGAAACAATGAAAGGATAGAACGGGTATTCGAATTTCAGTGAACAAAAATACTTTTCTTTCTGCACGACCAGGTGTTTTATTCAGCCGACGTTTCCAATGTCACCTTCCTCAGGGCAATTCTGACTGGTTCACATTGCACATTCACGTACGTTTGGAACCGCATTGTAGATACTGTTCCCCGTAACCGTGTATATATGTACTTTAATTATTTTGTGTTTGAAAACGCATCTATAAGGCATAGATACATGTGCTGTGCAATTTGAACTAGCAGTCAGAATTGTTCTGGGGAAAGTGACAGACAGTGACTTACCAACCTGATGAAACTATTTATGGAAGTATATTACCTATTCATGGAGTTCTGCATGTAGCTAGAACTTTGCAACCTTGCTGTATAAACCAATGATTAGCCAGGAGTGTTACAATCCAGGCTATTGTTTACATTGGCACATGATAGAAAAAAAAGTATGGAATTCGAAAGAACATGATATATGTATATGCCATGGGTTTAGATCCGGATTTTCAAGTGTGTATTTGCAGAAAGTATTTCCGAATTACAGAACAAAATGTTGACATCCTGCAATATTGCAAAACACTGAAAAAAAAAAGCATTTTTACCACAGCTTACCGTCAGAGTAGTCTCCGTTTAGGTTAGCGTCAAAGCACTTGGCGTACCACCAGCCTCCGCGGTAGGCGCTGGCACAGTTACCGGTGGGCAGAGTGTCGTGTTCCCGGTCCTTGGTACTGAAGGGCTGGTCCCTATGGACGTACAGGGCGTCCCCCGCAGTACCAGTGTACTCTCCCAGCTTCAACCTGCAGTAACACATAAAAAGCTGACATTCTCACAGTGAAAATTAAACTGTTCTCTACGTAAGAACAATTTGGCTTACCGGAATTTTGAAGCCAAATCACTCGATCTTCATTAGCTTTCTGACCCGAGTGCTGTAGACATGTGATTTTTCCACGTGTGACGTCAGCACTTAAATGAAAAGTAACCTACAGTGGGTGTCACTGGAAGACAGAAGAAAAATGTCCAGACTATGCATGATGTACAAAATGACTAATAAACTGGTGGACGTCCCAATTAGTAAGTACCTAATACCAGCCCAGAAGAGAACAAGAAATAGCCATGCCTTTAAGTACCAGAGTTATCAACCAAGGATTGAGGTGTTCAAAACTCATTCTTTCATAGAACTATCGCAGAGTGGAACTCGCTGCCACCAAATACAGTAGGGGTATTATTCTTAGATATCTTGGATTTTGGATACTAATATTTCCCTGGGAAAATGGGTGATAGACAGAGAAACAAGTAGATAAAAAGAACGTGTTAGGAACGTTGATAAGGAAATGCATTTTCTGGTAAAAATATAGTTATTGCACAATTGACTAATTTAAAAAGAATAAACTGTAATAAAAGAATACAATGCTATAGAACGTTGATTAGCAAATGTGATGTAAATGGCCACAAAATCAACCTAAGAATTGCGGGACTTTCATAAAGAGATTTTACAGACACACTAAACGGGAACGGAAGGTCGTTGTCTAAGACATGACACAACAGGGATGACGGGAAACAAAGATGCTGCTTATCATGAAAGTTCATCTGTGTTGTTAGTAATCATAGTAAAAAGTTTAACCTTATTCCAACACATAGTTTACAAATTTTTAACGACCACTGTCGCCTTCATCAGGATAATTAATGACCAATCACTATATAACGTGATCTCGCGAGAGTTACGGTTTACGTCACGTATCAGTAAAATCTCGTGTGAATAAGGTCACGTGTTTGTAAACCGTAACTCTCGCAAGATCACGTTGTATAGTGATTGGTCATTAATTATCCTGATGAAGGCGACAGTGGTCGCTGAAAATTTGATCTCTCTGTAAGCTGTGTGTTGTAATAAAGTTCTACGTTTTACAAAGATGCTGCTTACTG